TTGAGCTTAGCGTCTTTGAACTCGGACATTCACCTGCGATGTTATTCGCACTCGTCTACCGCCCACCTCGATCTAAGGATTTCATAAATGAGTTTTCTGACTTCTTGGCTGAAATCACACCAAAATATGAGCATGTTTTCATTATTGGTGACTTTAATTTGCACGTGTGCTGTCCTGAGAAGCCCTTGGTTAAGGACTTTTTAGATCTATTGGACTCTTTTAATTTAACTCGGCATGTAAACGGTCCCACCCAAGAGCGCGGACATACACTGGACCTTGTTTTAACTCATGATATGACTGTTAATAATCTTGTTATTGGTGATAATGTTTTTTCAGACCACATGCCAGTCCGGTTTGAGTTCACCCTCCCCCATCTAACTCCTAAGTCGTGCATTCCTGCAAGTCGCAGCCGGAACATTAAACATTTCACTGCCGCACGTTTCACAGATGTTTATAACTCTGAAATGATTATTCAGCCCCCAGTGTTTCTCACCACCACTGAGGAGCTGACATCCCAGTTCAACTCTGTCTGCTTAAAGATTCTGGATCATGTTGCACCTGTTAAAACCAAAAAAATCAAAACTGAGAGCAGAACCGTGGCTGAGTGATGTCACCAAGGCCGTTAGGCAACAATGTAGGAGGGCAGAACGAAAGTGGAAGAAAGACAGGCTGCAGGTCTCTTTCCAGATACTTAAAGAGAGTTGGCGCTGTTATCAGAAAACAGTAAAAGCTGCTAAATCAAAATTCTTCTCTGATATAATTACCTCAAAATCTCACAACCCACGTGTCTTCTTCTCCACCCTAAACTCTGTTCTCCACCTCACTGAACCATCACCTCTGGAAGCCTCAATTGAGCTGTGCGATAACTTCCTACATTTCTTTTTGGAAAAAATTGCGACCACCAGGGCTTTCATTTCCCCTCCAACTCATGACCCATCCATCCCACCTCAATCTGTAGCTCGTTTTGACCATTTTGAACCCATCACTCTATCTTCTCTAGAGTAGGTCATGTGCAACTTGAAACCTTCTGGCTCCCCCTTTGCTGTGGTCCCCCCTCGACTACTAAAGGAGGTTTTTCCTACTCTAGGTCTGTCCATTCTTGCCATAGTAAACAGTAGTTTATCCATTGGCGTGGTGCCAAAATCCTTTAAACATGCTGCTGTCCAGCCTCTCCTGAAAAAACCAAACCTTGACCCCTCAGTTGTTTCCAACTTCCAGCCAGTCTCCAAACTCCAATTTGTTTCTTAAGTACTGGAGAAAATAGTCGAGTCCCAGTTGAAGTGCTTCCTGGAGGATCACGCCATCTTAGAGCTTTTCCACTCTGGCTTTAAACCTCTCCACAGCACTGAAACTGCCCTGCTGAAGGTCTTTAACGACATCTTCAGATTCACAGATACCAGTGATTCTGTGCTGCTTGTCCTGTTGGACCTCACAGCCACCTTTGACACCATCGACCATGAGATCCTCATTGCTAGGTTGGAGCAGTGGGTGGGCGTCACAGGATCAGCCCTCAATTGGTTCCGATCTTACCTCACTGACAGATCCTTTTGTGTCTCCATCTGTCGTAGTTTGCGGTTAGCAGCGAACCCAGAGTGCAGAACAGGGACTCAACTCGGCAGATATACAAAAAATATGTTTTAATGGAAAATAAAAGTACAAAATAAACAAGCTGACGGGGCAGCAAAACACATGAATAAGGAAGGAGGCAAAGGTAAAAAGTACAAAATAAACAAGCTGACGGAGCAGCAAAACTTACATGAACTAGGCACGGGGAACTCAGGCGACAAGAGAGACACGGGGAACTCGAGGGACCAGGAAGACTCAGGGAAAGACTCAGGACAAGACTCAGGAGACCCAAGGGAGAGTACCAACGAAGACGACCCGACAAGAACAAGACAGAATAGGAAACTATTCCACTGAGGAAGCAGAGCCTGGGGACTCTGGGTTGGGCCCTCCAATCTCTGGTGCTGAGATCACCAAGGTGGTTAAAAAGC